TACAATACTCTCATTCCATGTAACATTTACAGATCTCTGGGCTAATTCTAAAATGGAAAATCATCTCCATTCAGACATCATTAGAATGTCTGAAAGCCAGTCAGCACCTCTAAGACTCCTTCTGACCAGATCCCAGGCTCACTTAGTCATCTTTTACAGGAGTTTTTTTAGGTAAGTGCTGTCCAGTAGAACTTTCTGTAATGGAGAAATGTTCTTTATGTCTGTTATGATGGCAGCTAGCCACACGGGGCTGTTGAACATTTGAAGTGTGAATTATTTAATTGTAATTAATTGAAAATGAAGTGATGTAACCACCTTCAGTGTTCCCGCCTCCTCCGCCTCACGTCTGCAATCCCTAAGTATTGCCAAGGCAATTAGTGTGGAAATTGGTTACAAATGGCACCAAAGGCTTTCCACTTCTATATGTGCATCAGAGTATAAATATTACAAGGGTACTGTGGTCAGTTTTTGGTAATATGGCGATGAGCAGAGTCTTCTACTCTTAGAGGACTTGCAGCCTAGTAAGGAACACATTTACAGACCTAATAATGGTCCAAATGATTAATTAAATCTGTGATGACTGTTACAGAGGAGAAATACAGACTGCTACAGGAACGTATACTGGGCTGGGTGTGGTTGCCCACGCCTTTAATCCTAGGGCTGGGGAAGCAGAGGCAGGCGGATCTCTGTGAGTTCAAGGCCAGCCTGGTCTACATAGTGAGTACCAGGCCAGCTGGGGCTACAGGGAGACCCTATCTCAAAAAGACAAACACAAACAACAACAACAAACAAAACATAAAAAAAAAACCTCATATACTGGAGTCCAGAACCCCAGTAGGATTAGTCAAGGAATTTAGTAAGAAAAAATCATGAGACAGTATACTGAGTTTCCCCAAGTTCAAGGCTGGGTCAGGCTGGCTACAGGACCCACAGGTGGCAGGGTGAGACATTTAGCACATGCCTTGCTATGACTTCCAAAGACATGAAATCCGCCTTACAAAGCCACATATAGACACAGAGTGCAAACTCCTGAACTTGAGCAAGTGAATTCTTTACCTAAGCTGCAAACAGTTGTGCCAATGTCGGTCATAGATAATGTGTGATAAGAGGCTGCAAATGTTTACAGGATACTGCATTTCCTCTCCAGTATATGTTTTGACAAAGTTGTTTGGGCTGTAGCCCCAGCATTTCCTCCCTACTCTTACAAATTGGTATTTGGTCCATTCAAGAAATCAGTACTGACATCCCAGACAGACAAAATGAGACACATGACAGCAAACCATATGGCTTGAATAGACATCCTTATATGGCCAACACAGACCATATTCCCAGAAACTCATATATGGAAAACACCACCTGCAGCTAAAGCCAAAAAACAAAGAGTCGACATGACAAAAAAGCAATATGTTACATAGATTGTGCTGCTCGGAGAGTGTGGAGATAGCCAACTGTATTTGAATTGGAAAAGATGGGAAAAAAAATGTCCTTAGAAAGCGCTGTGGTGGTGAACAGCGCCTTACTAACAGTCACTGGAGGAGCTGCTATATCTTAAAAGCATTGAGATTCTAAATGCTCTGTTTATGACGAATGTATATGCTATTCAGAACCCTGAATGTGTTTTAATGCATTCGAATATCTGCCTGCATGTTTATCTTAATATGCTGCCATCTGAAGCCCACAGTAGTCCTTTAAGTTTTCAGAAATCTTGTATATCTGTTATAGATTTTATCTATTCTCCTTTGTGTAACCAGGTTGGAGGCCTTCTCATGGGAGAGAAAATTGATGTACCCTATTTTAACTGTATGTCCACACGTTAAATAGTTCATGCCCTGGAGTTGTAACATTCCTGAAGTTTTCTTCTTTGATAGCAAGATTTATAAAGTTTATTTTGTCTAACTTTTCCCCTAATTTGTTTGCATCTTCATGGGTAAATATAAGATTTTTATATACAATCAGGTAATGTTTTCCCGCCATGATAGCTTATGCGCACGTAGACCTAGGAAGGTGGTATAATTATCTTTTAAACATTTTGACAGGATTAACACTGGCCAATATGTAGTGTCTAAAATGAATATTCTAAAGAGGAAGATTCTATATATATGTGGTCATTAAACCCATTACTGTGGCATTTTACCTGTGTACCACTTCACCTATGTCATTTCTTATGATCATGTAGTTGTGGATAGTGTGCTTCAGGGAGAGCAGTATATGTACATGTGATTGATAGATTGATGATTTTGCTGTACTGTTACTCTTTACAATAAAGTCATCATCAGATGCTATTATGCTCATTTTTTCTGAGACCATGTCAATCCTCCTTACATGCTTTTATGTTTTGTGTTTATGAATAGGTTGTGGTTCCTGGTTAAAAGATGCTGTTCAGGTTTAAAGCCAGTTAATTCCCAGGTTACATTAACACTGATCAAGTCATTAGACCAAGACAATCAGGAGGCATTTTGTTTTATTTGGGTAAAATTATTGGAGAAACATATTTCCATTATTACATCCCAGTGTTGTAATATTGATATTTTCAGGGCCCTTTTACTTTTTAGTGTTCTTTTCTCTTAGCTCAAAATTTGTTTTGCTCACCAGTTTTCTTTTTTAAAATATTTTATTACTTTTATTTTATGTGTATGCGTGTATTGTCTGCATGTAGGTTAATGCACCCGTGTCGTGCAATGGCCGAGGAGGACAGAAGAGACTGTCAGATCCCCTGGGACTGGAGTTAAGGATAGTTGTTAGCTGCCATGTGGGTGCTGGGATTCGAACCCCGGTCTTCTGCAAGAACAACCAGTGTTCTTAACCGCTGAACCATCTTTCCAGCTCCTCTGTTTTCTTCTTTAAAAAAAAAAAAAATTCAAGTGAGGTGGAATTGTAAGAGCAAGTGACATATTCTTTTTCTTTTGTAGGCCAGTATAATTTCTCTCTCTCTATCTGTTTGTAAATTCATCCAGCATGACTCTAGAACACACTGTCCCTACTAAAAAAGGTCAGGTTTCAGGGAAACATGTCAGGCATAAACAATTTGAAGCAACTGTTCAGGTATCCATATTGGAGACTGGAATTTTAACATATCCTATTGAAAAACATCTTTGTCCTTATAGAGATAATTATGTTTGTTCTTTTGAAGATCACATGTCTTTCAAAATAAGTTTACCCTCCAGCCACAATACAAACTCCCACACAAGTGCTACCTACACTTGGCATATTTGTCTATTTCCTTATTGATTATACTTCTGATACTTTAAATAGCCTCCGCAGTTCCCACACATTTCAACTGTGAAAAACCTAGGCTCCTTTTAGCTTTTGTGGTGAAGGTTGTCCAAAGTTTGCCAGTGTTTTGGATGTTGTGTTTCTGTCTCGGTATCACACCTCTACTTTGCTCAAGGCTTCGGTTTAAGGGTGCCAAGATTCACGGTTGCCTTCCTCAATTTTGACTAACCTTTCCGGTTTGTGGGTCCTGAAACTTGGTGCTCTTGGAGTGATCTATTTCCACCATGTTTGTCCTAACCGCCCCCCCCAACCCCCAGGCCATCATTTCCTCCACTTTACCTTCTCCTTCACCCTCTCCTTTTCTTAGAGTCCTCCTGTAAACAGTGCCTGAGAGTGCATTGGTCGCTTTAAAGAGCTTCATTTGCATATCTCAGTGCTTGCCCTAACTTGTTGCTTTTTTTAAAAAGGCGTAACAGTGTTTGGCCGATTTCTGCCTTTCCCCCACTGCTATAACACTCACGACCGTTCTTACATAACACTTTGTTCTTGTTTGATGGTCTGCTTTCGGGGTGGTACTAAGCACCTTAGTGATAAAAAATGTATTTGGGGTCCTGGTCTTCATATGGATTGCACTTAGTAAATGAGATAAAGATCATATTGTGTGATCATGACCAATGATGTAACTGGGAACTGTTGATCACACACGTATTTATTGCTACAACAGATGCATCCACTGACCCAAACTTTCCCATATTCGCCCGGTCCCAAAGTATTTTGAAGATGACATCTTTTCCTTTGTAATAGCAAGTCAGGTGTCTTCCAAGTGGCCCAAATTCGGTTTAACTCCACCACTACGGGCCGCGCGTTTCGGAAGTCCGAAGCGTGCTGAGGGCTGAGGCTCAGTCCTGAAAGCCCTCATCCAGTACCTAGCGGATGTCCACTCTGGGCACTTTAGGGGCCACCCTCCTTTGAGTCTGAATACTGGCCAGAGCATCTCCAGACGCCCGGCCTCTACAGCCCTGCCCACCGGGACCGGACCACTTGCCCACCCCGTCTGCCACCTGCGCGCCCTCGCCCCCTCCCCCCATCCCCGTCCCCTAGGCGCCC